TTCCCATGCTAATAGTGAATTTCTAAACGCAAGGGAGAAGGAAAGCAAGTAACTTATGTATCTTGGGTTTATTTTTATCATCTGCATTTAAATAATTCAAGATCTCCCAATTTATTTGAATCACTGGGGCAAACCAACAAGACTCAGAGCTTGAGGTGGTTGGTTCCAAACCCACAGTCAATTTGTGCTGTTGGTTTCCTGCCCTGGTTTTAGTTGGTGTAAAGTTAATTTTCTTCACAGGGGCTGGTGTGGGGCTGCGTTTTGGATTTGTGCTGAACACAGTGATAATAACTAATTTGTTTTTACAGGTATGCAGTTCCTAGCAAAGAGATGATAATATTTAGAAGAAAATATATATTCAACAATAGCTGTTATTCCAACCCAGTATATTCTGAAGGGAATGGAGGCACACAGGTAATGGTAGATATTTCCTGACACACCTAATCTCTGTTACCAGACACATTCTCCATATTATATTAATTCCCAGACAGTTCTTTCCTAAAAGTACTATGTAAGTATTCCATTTTATTTATTTTCAACTTTTAAAAAAAACCCAAACAACTACTGGTGCTCTGGTTTGCCATATTCAGTCTAACATAAAAATCCAGGTAAGGGCTGTAAATAAAAACTATGCTTTGCCCTTTGCATCTTTAAAACACTGCCATCTTATTCCTGGTTAATGTAGCAGTTTTGCAAATGTAAATTTGAGATATTTCTTATTTTTTTTTATAACTTGTACCAAGAGCAGCCTCTGCACAAAACCCTCCTGTCACCCCTGTGGCTCACGTTTTTTGAGGACTGTGGCCATGCTCACACTGCATGAGCAGCTCTTAGAAGGTACTGAAGTAATTATTCCCCATTTCAAAATTTCGTATCAAAGTAAATTCTTTCCCACGGACTTTGTAGCCACCAGCAAAGTATTTATGTGTTTTTGGTAGAGCTGCTGTGGACATGCTCAGTTACCTGCTGGCTCCTAAACCCTGCCAATATTTTTGTGGGCTTTCTTTTTCTCTCTTTGTATAGAAGTGCTTTGGGAGAGCTGTCAAGCAGCAGGTCAACAGCAGCAGGCTAAAAACCATCCTATTTGTTGTCCAAAAGACAATGTGACTCACAGGAATTCACTGTGAAAGCTGATTGCAACATCTAATGAAGGAAAGTAAAAGAGACTTGCCTTTTTCCAAGCCACTCCAACTGTGTAAAGGAAATAATCTCTGGCTAACCCTGCTGGGCTGGTACTTTTCCTGATTCTGGACAACCAGAAGGTTCCAAAACTTTGAGTCCTGCAGCACAACTTGTATGATCACAGGCATTGCCTCTGCGTGCTGTTGTGCAGAAAGGTGGGGAGCAGAGAGGCAAATGTTGGACTTCAAGACAGTATTCCTTGGGATTTGCATCCTTGAAGGAGGTGGGGAGGAGTTTAACATCACCAGAGCAAGGCAGAGTGAGCATGTTCTCTCTCAGATCTGGAACACAGCACAGCCACGGAGAACCTGGAGAAACTCTGCCCACACTTGCAGGTGTGACCTTTTTTTTAGTCATCCTTAATTAAAAATTAATTAATTAACAATATTCCCAGGGTTGGGAGCTCCTTGACTCGCAGTCCGTGACAGTGTTTGGGCTGGGAAGGTTCATCCACACAGGCCTCTGGGGAGCCCTCAGATGGTTTTCATACTGAAGAAGAAATAACATCAGTGGGGCAAAATCCACACGCTACAGGGTGAAGTTACATGATTCCAAACGGGGTTGGATGTTCCTGAGATCAATGGTTTTCCTTCCTCTCCTTGCACAGCACTGCAGAGCAGCCAGCAGAAGGTATAACAGATTCCAGACTTCTTCACTTACAATAATATTGTGCCTGTACACGGTCCTCTTTGTCTCAAGTAAATAATGAAGTGATCTGCTATGACAAAACATGTAAACACCTTGGGGCTGGTTCTACCCACTATATACCATTACTTGCTTGATTTTTCCTCTCTGACATACCTGTTTCAGTCACTGGTTTCACTGCCAATTCATGGCATTTAAACGAGGACAAGAAAAGAAATCATAAACTAAAAGCCACCACTTACTTACATAATTTTTTATTTTTTTTTTTTTAATCCAGGAAGATCCCAAACTGCTTTACAAGCTGTAGGTTAATCCTGACATCTTTCCTGGGGCAGCTTCTTACTCTGGTCAGTTCTCTAAGGATGCTCAAAGTCTTCAGTGTGGTTGAGATTCTTGCTGTGCAAGAATTATCCTGGAATGTGTCCTCCAGAATGGGCATATTTTTAACTGTGCTTGGATAAATGTAGCACAGGAAGTTACCAACTTCCACAACATCTGTCATCATGAAAACCTGCAAGCTGCTTCGGAAAAAGGTTTTTAACAGCATTTAAGTTTTTACGCCCTGGGATGTATTCACATCCCCCAGGATTAATTTTCTATTTTCAAAATGTTTGTCTGTAAACAGGAACTGTTCTTATGTCACCCCTATATTACACATGGTATGTTTGTGAAGTGCTAAAGGAAAATGTTTATTTTTCTCTAGTTTTGGGACACGTTAAAAATGGCAACACAAACTGCAAAGTGGATTATTTTAGCCTGGAAACCTGCTGTTACCAGAGCAGGTGTCACGATCTGGGAAAACGGAAATTCAGGTGTAAAATGAAAAAGGAAAAAAATTACTAGACTCTGTAATTTTGAATCCAGTGATGGAAAATAAATCCAGTAAGTCCATTGCACTTCTTCACTGATAGTACAATTAGACTTTGAGCAGACAGTCCTGAGGTTGTTCATCAAATACAGACAGAAAACCAGACTCTGAAACCGAGCTTCATTTCTGTAGGGCAAAATTACCATATTTTCATGGATATAACCTGCAGATTATCTAACAGAGGAATAAATAGCCAGGCAACCCACTCCCCACTGTGTTAGCAATTGGTGTAGTACACAAATCTGTCATCTTCTGAGGGAGCTGTTTACTCAAAAACCTCCTTTGCATGCTAAACATCTTGCCTGTGATCACCAGTGCCTAGTGCTATTTTTTTATGTATCCAACTCACACTGAATCATCTCTGCACTTACTTGAGTTTCGAAAGTTGCAGGTTATCAGTTTGAAAATATGGCACCTTTGGTAGTGTTTTACATGCTGAAGTAAAAGGGATTTATAGGGTTTTGCTAGGGAAGCATCTGCTTCTTTCTTCCATTGAGTGACGAAGGGATTAGGAAAAAAGAAAAGGAACAATTTTATGGGAACCAGGGGGAGCAGAGACAAACAGTTCACTGGGAAAGAGGTGAGGGTTATTGTAGTGACTTATCAATCACACAGGACTGCAAACACAGAAAAAGGAGCATGTGGGATGTGCTCACCTGATCCTAACATACATTGCCCTCTTAACGCTTCAAGAAAAGCAGAGAAACAGAACAAGGGAAATCAGCAATAAAATGTGACCAGGAATCCTTCAAGAATCATTGGATAGCTACAATTTATAATGGTATGGCAGAATTACTAAGTGGTATAACCAGAATAATAGTTTTCATGTATATATGTAGTCATTTTTGTATATATACACAAGTATTAAGCTAAAATACAATTACTGTGCTGCAAATGTTTTTAACCTACGTGGCAATTTTAACTGAAGACTGGGAAATCAACGTGCAAAAAAAAAGCTGGAAGAATTAGAAGAAGAAAAAAAGGAAAGAAGAGGAAAAAAGGAGTGAAAAGAATAGTGCTAACAACTAAGCACAAGTAATTCTCTCTCTTATGCAGCAGCCTTAGACTCTTCTGTTTGGACAAGGCCTGCTGGAACGGTCCTTAAGCCTGACCTGGATACATCCAGTACTGGCTGTGATGCCAACCAACCTCCTCTTTCACTGATCTTTGTCAAACTATCACTAATGGCAACAAACCTTCAACTCTATTTGTTCCAGACTTACTTAAAATTAAGGGGAGAATTCCGAAATAAAAGGACTGCTGCTGTCATCATCCCACCTGCAACACAGTGACACCCAAAGGGTTCACACTGAGATCAGTGCTGGGGCTTCACATGTTCTACAGCTTCAGGAGTCATCTTCTTCACCCTCCTCATCCTTAGATCATTTTATTTTGCCAAAACTCAGCACTCAGCCTTCTGGAACACTTCTGAACTACACTGGTGACTCTCTCTGCATCCTTCCACATCTTTATGCTTTCTTGCCAAGAAAAAAAAATCCCTGCCATTCTTGACACTTTATTCAGAGAAATGTTTTATTCAGCTCTTTCCCTTTGCTTTTGTTTTCTTTGGTAAAAAAAACTCCAGTCCAAAATAATTCAGTATCATTTTGTCCCATGGTTCTCTACATTTAGTTTCTTCTATTTATACTTCCAGTTCTGCTTGCTCCCATAGGATCTGTCTCCCATTTGATCTGGGTTGTTTGGGGTTTTTTTGAGATTTTGTTTTGGCTTTGCAGAATTTAACTTTACAGTAGCCTACTTGTGTCACTCTGTCAAATGAGACCAAGCTATGGTTTTTTGGGCTGTGCATATAAAAAAGACTAACCTGGTTTTTACGTTGTTTCCGTATCTCACGCCACAAATAGAGAGGATTTGTGACATCTCACACTGAAGCTCTTTCAGTGTTGCTATTTATACAGTCTTTTAAAACCAGACCAATAGATACACACTCTTTTCAAACCAGACCAACAGATACACACAGCAATTAGTCTCTGAGACCAGATTAAAACTAATTTTATGATGGTTGATGTAGAACAAAGATTTGTATGACAGTAGTAAAACTGTTTAGCACTGAGAGATGGCAAGTGCTAAGAGAAGAGCATTAAAAGATGTCTTAATGTATTCCAGAGTAAGACATTACTCCTAAGCAGTAATTCTGTAAGACAGTTCATGATATCAAGAATTATGTGCTAGCAATGGTGCTGTTCAGCCTGAATTTACAGACCCTTCCAAAAAGCAGGTGATTATTCACATTACAAAGCAGCAGAGTGAAGAGAACATATATCAGTGGTCTCGAGTTACTCACCAGGCAGATGAACTCTGAAAAGACATCAGGGGTGGGCTTAAAGCATCTCCTTTTAGAGTGTGAACTGTCTGTGATGGCTGGGGCTGAGTCTCTGGCTGAGGCTGTGCCTGAGCCTGGCTCGGGTCCTGAGCGGGGTTGATCCAGCGGCTCTGTCCCTGGCTCATCCACTTGCCCTGGATCCCCCACCGCGCCAGGTACAGCTTGCAAATGTCATAGTTCAGGGAGGAGTAATATAAAAGGTCCAGGATGAGCAAGATCACCACAAAAAAGCCATAGATCCACACTCCCAGCAGGGCGCTGTAGTTGCTGCGAGAGAAAAAAAATGGGAAAACAAAAGGAGTTCTCTGGAATGGTCACTGGGGTGATTTATCAAGGGGTTTGTTTCGTTAATTACAGAATATATACAATTAATGACAGAATAGATTAGACAAAATTATATATATTAGTATATTATTCTACAGCTATATGATATATAATAATAGTAATATATTACATAGTATATATCAATAAACTATATAATATTAATATACTATATATTATTCGTATACTATATATTATACATATACTATTATAATATACTATCATATGATACGATTATAATATACTATTACATAGTACATATTAATGTATTATAAATTATTCATATAATACATATTATTCATATATTGTTATAATATATGATTATAATATACTACTATTATATTGTAATATATTATTGCATAGTATATATTAATATACTATAAATTATTAATACACTATAGGTTATAATATACTATAGATTATTATATATTTCTATATTATATATTATTATATATTATTATACATTAATATAGTAATATTACAGCTGTAGTTGCTGGGAAAGAAAAAAGATACAACAAAAAAGTTCTCTCAGTCACTGTGTTATTTTATCAAGGTTGTTTAATATATAATATAATATATATTATATTATATATTACATAATTATATATTATATATATTATATATTACATATAAAATTAATGACATAATAGAATGTCTAATAATATATATTCTATATTATGCATAGCTATATAATCTATAAATACATAGATATTAACATTAAATACTATCTATAATATACTACATATGATTATTAATCTCTAATATTGTATATTAGAGATTATTATATCTCTATATATTATTATATATTAATATAGTAATATCATAGCTGTAGTTGCTGAGAAAGAAAAAAGGTACAACAAAAAAGTTATCTCTCAGTCACTGTGTTATTTTATCAAGATTAACATGTAATATCTAATATATATAAAATTAATTACATAATATAATATATAATTAATATATGTTCTATATTATACATAGCTACATAATCTATAAATACATAAATATTAATTTTAAATAGTATCCATAATATACTATAAATTATTAATCTCTAATATTGTATATTAGAGATTATTATATTGCTATAAATTATTATATGTTAATATAGTAATATTATATCTGTAGTTGCTGGGAAAGAAGAAAGGGAAGACAAATTATCTCTCAGTCTGTTATTTTATCAAGGTTGTTTATATTATAATATGATATATATTATATATTACATAATTATATATAATATATTTTATATAATATATGTTATATTCCATATAAAATTAATTACATAATATAATATATAATTAAATATATGTTCTATATTATACATAGCTATATAATCTATAAATACATAAATATTAATATTAAATAGTATCCATAATATACCATATATTATTAATCTCTAATATTGTATATTAGAGATTATTATATCTCTCTATATTATTATATATTAATATAGCAATATTATATCTGTAGTTGCTGGGAAAGAAGAAAGGGACAACAAATTATCTCTCAGTCGCTGTGTTATTTTATCAAGGTTGTTTAATATAGAATATAATATATATTATATATTACATAATTATATATTTTATATGATATATATTACATATAAAATTAATTACATAATAGAGTGTCTAATTACTATATATTCTATATTATGCATAGCTATATAATCTATAAATACATAGATATTAATATTAAATACTATCTATAATATACTTATATTATTATTAATATCTAATATTGTATATTACATATTATTATATGTCTATATATTATTATATAGTAATATAGTAATATTATATCTATAGTTGCTGGGAAAGAAGAAAGGGACAACAAATTATCTCTGAGTCACTGTGTTATTTTATCAAGGTTTTTTGGTTAATTATATAATATATAAAAATAATTATGTAATATAATACATAAATATACATATTGTATAATCTATATTATTATACATTTTCATAAATATGTAAACATAAAATATTAATATATTTAATAGTATCTGTTTATATATATTATAAAATATAGTATATACCATTATATATTACTATATCTGTTATATATTATTATATAGTAATAGTGTAATATATCATATATATAATTATAGATAATGTATAGAACATAATTATCAATATATAAAATTCTATAGTATATAGATGGAAACATTCACTGCTGACCTGCATCACAAACCATTTCTCTTACAAGATGTTTAATGTGCTTGAATTTGCTTTCAATATAATAATAATTACTACCAGATAAAGAAGATAACAGTACAAGTGTAGGATTTCAAGAGGGGCTGCTAAAGACCCTCAGTTTCCTGGTAATAAATTTAGGGATGGAGAACATTGATGAGATCATCTTACACACTTCATTTCATAGGAAAATATGTACTACACTGAAATGAACACGGTGGTGTAGTTATAAAGTGTATTTTTAGATAAAGGCCATGACAATTATCAGCTGCTGACATGGAGTTGTAAAGCTATGACAGGTGATTAAAGATATTAAGAGAAGGGGGGGGGGAAAATAGGAGGAAAAGGAATAAGGGGTCAAGAATTTGGAGATCAAAAAGGGGAAGAATTGCTAAAGGTCTGCTGGAGATGAAGTATTATTAAAAGAAAAGTGACTGTCAGGTGTAAATGCAGTTTGGATTGGGAACTGTGTGTGGGGAGGATGAGGTCAGAACAGAGCAGGAGAAATCTGGGTAAGAATGAGATTGATTTAAAAAAAAAAGAAGTACAAAGTATAAAGCAAAAAAAAGGCTAATTTAGATCCACGAGCTAATGTGGAAGTACCTGTACCAGAGACTGTAAAAACAAGAGGGACATTAGTAAAAAATGCCCTTAGGAGGACAGTCTTAGAGACAAATTATATCAAAGTCACAGGTGGACAACCCACAATCTCCATGGACCTGAACTCACATGAATCAAGAGAAGCTCCTCCCTACTCAGAGAAACTTCGAGGGAAATGTATTTTATCAGAACACTGATCAAAACACAAGAAGAAAAAAGGCTGAGAATATTAGAGATGCAAGCCAGAGAGATATTTTGACATTTTAAAAAACATGTCCCCAGCCTTTTTTGGATCAAAACATTTCCAAGCCTCTGCTTTAAAAACTTTCACTTCCATTTCAATGACTTTCATTGTATGCTTTTAAAAAAAAAATAATAAAAAAAAAAACAGGATTTGAAATGAGAAATCAGGTAAAAAATCAGAATTTTAAGTTCTGTGTCTGTCAGCACTTAAGGAGGTTGATTCTTCTCCCTCCAGGGAAGGATTTTTCCACTACACAGATATGTAACACCTTTAGACTAAGTAAGGTTCCATAGCAAATTGAATGTCAGTAACAAGAGGAAGGAGCTGTTAATGGATCCCTTCCTGTGTAACTTTAGGACTGTACAAGAATCGAATTAAAAAAATTAAAAAAAAAAAATTAAAGTATTAAAATATAAGAATTTAAAAAAAGGCAGTAAATTTCCAGGAGGATTGGAAGGAGACAAAATATAAAGCTTCTGAAAACCCTTAACTCCAAAGTCTTTGCCTCTACTGCATTTGATCCGTAGTAAGAATGGAAATACTAGAGAACTTTTGTTTTGTTTTTTTTTTTCTTGGCAACAATTCGAGAGGCAGGAACATTTCTTACAGCTAAAATGATTTTTTTGGTGTGTTTTAGGTATTTAATTTCAACCATCAAAATTTTGATTAGTGAGAAATCAGAGGTATTTTGAGTGTTCTGATTTAAAGCGACAGTTCATTAATCACATTCATCTGCTCCTCCTAAATAACATCTGTTTCTCACAAGCCCAAAAATGAAAGGCTGCTTTATTTTAAATAACAGACAGTGGGACAACAGCACTATCAAAAGGGCCTTGTGAAAAATCACAGGCAAAAATAGTAAGTAGTAGGTTTAACTACAGAGGGAAATTCCATTCCTTGATGTTTTTTCTGTTTCTCAAACCATTAACATGTAGAAAATGTTAATTTTGCTGATGGCTACTAATTATAGTAAAAACTGAAACTGTCCTGCAAATGAAGATGTCTTAATTAGAAAATAAACAACCTTTTTGAGAATAACAGTAAGACCAGAAACACAGAAGAGAAAAAACAGAGTAATTCGTGGACCCATCAGAAAAGCTTAGGGGCTTATTATTTTAAGTCCCCTTTTCTAGAAATAGGCTGATATATAGAATATACATGGACTATATATTCTATATATAGAATATACATGGACTAACCTCAATACAGAGCCCACTTGTGTTAATGGAAAGATCTGCTCTGACTTCAGGGAGCCTTGAACTGGGCTCTCTGAGAACAAGAAATACTTTTGCCATCCCTCTCCTCCTATTCCATCTACAGAATCCTGCTTGGAGTTCTCTAAAATCCCTACACACAAATAAAAACACAGGTCCTTTTATTATTATTTTTAGCTATATGATTCCTTCCAACTAATAATTCACTTTTTGAGGTGGATGACGAGCTGGTTATGACCAGGCTATGTCTTTTTAGTAGATTTTGTTGGGTTTTATGTGCAGCACATTAGCAGAGAATAATTCACATGGGAATTCAGGTTTGAAAACCAAAACAACAAATCAAAACAACTGTGAGCTGAATTCTACAGCTGCAGAATTTAAATGTGGGCAGATGGGCATGGAAAGGGTTCCTTTCCCTGTTCCCCTTAAATGGGGCTGTTGCTCCCAGTAGTAACAGTGAGTGTTGCCCCAAAGAAATCCAAGTTTATCTCTTACCAAACCCCTTGGTACTTCTAGCATTGAGGAAACCAGTGTGGGTTTTGCATGTACACTTTAAATGTGATTTTTTTTTTCCTGTTTTTTTTCTGGACTAAAAGGGAAAAACATGGATAAATTACATACTTCCATAACACAGTTCCAGTATCAGATTAAGGACCCTTAGAATAGTAGTACTGCTGATAATCCACCAAAACAGCCATGACAGAAAATCTGAGAGACTATGAAAAAACAGATTCAAGTGAATATGTTTTTAAGAACAGTTAAACAACTTCTTAGACAGTTTTAAGGCATCACAGAACTTTTCTTGTCTGTTAGACATCATTTGTATTTCTGTATTTAATACTGAGAGAATTGTTCACATTAAAAATATTATAAACAGATTAATCTGCACGATGGCAAAGACTTAGAAAACACGGAACTCTTTTGTTATAGTAATGGAAAACTGTAAATAAATGTGGCTTTAGTTGTATTGTGTGACTGCAGAAGACAAACACATCTTTTCAGCTGTGCCATGACAAGTCACTTCACTAATTTCTTCCCTCAACTGCATTATAAAACAAGAAATTTGTTTTGATGATCACAAGAATGGCTAAGGGGAAAAATAAACCAAATAATAATATTGAAATAAACCAAGCAATAATATTGAATCACTCTTCTCTGCAAACTATAATACTTTTTTTTTTTTTCAGTTCAGTGCTATTCCCATATCCCAAATTATTCTCCCCTGCTGCAGTACAATAGGTTTCATCAGGATTTTTTTCAGTGGTGTGTGAAATTAGATCTAAACAAGAGCTGACTTTGTCACTGTAAACTGAACCCTGGATGTATTAGAATCCAAATAAAGTTTAGTTATTGTACTTGTTAAATAAAGTCAGAGTGTATTAAGAAGCTTTTTGCAATGTTTTTAATGCAGGCCTGTAGGATTCACTCCTTTCTGCTCCTCCTGAAATTACCAGGAAGTTTTCTACCCATGTCACTGAGCTCAGGGTCTCACTACAGTGGTGAGGTTTTACGTAGGAAGAAGCAGCTCTTCATTTTCCTGGTCCTGACAGATTTATCAGAAATGAGGTTTCAGGGATTTACACAAGGGCAATACCAGTTTCACTCTTGCACTTGTTTAAGCTACATCTCCAGAAGCTTTTTATCGCATTTAACGTGATTTCACCTGCCTTTGTGGAAGATCACACAGAGCTAAAAGTCCCCAGGAAACTCTGGACTGAAGACTTTTAGGGTAAATATTCTGCTGGTGGTTCTCAACCATGAGTCTCTCAAAAAAAAAAAAAATACAGAAGTACCTTTCTCCATCACAACTGAGTAAGATGAGTTGGGTTGGTTTGGTTTTTTTTTTAATCTAAATGAAAACTAATATAATACACTGTGCCCTCCACACTTCAGGTTGCTGGTGGAAGGAAGAGCAGAAGAGCCTTACCTTAGTAAGCTCTGCCCAGGAGTAGCTGCTGGGATATTGGGAAAAGCCTGAAGTACTTTCCACTTGTCTGAGCTGCACTTGGGCAGTAACACTCCGAGCTCTGAGATGATTGAGGCTCTTTTTATCACCCTGAGCATGCAGGGTGATAAAGCAGGTTTTGGCTCTGTTTGCCACTACGTGGTTTTTAAGGATGATAATGGTTTGCTGACTCCAAACTGGGCTGAACTGCACACAGGGAGTTCCAGCTCCTGTTGTTACATCAGTATTCCAACACCACAGTCTCCCAGGAGCACTTGCACCTGCTTCCACAGGAAGGAATGACAGGGCACAGACTGACTTTTGCACCGCAGAAGAAAACACCAAAATCCCTGTTGTAAACAAAATGTCCCCAGCCTGGGATTCCAGTTGTCTTTAATCTGCCCCTTCCTTGCCCTGGAGGAGCTGAACACCAGAGTAAAATGGCAGGGGAAAAGCAGATAAATGAGAATTTGACCTGGGGGTTTACACCACATCACAGCTGCCCTCTGCACCAAAAGGAATCACAGCAGATCAGAGGCCTGAATGTCAAATACCAAGCAGGGAACAGACCACAAGTGAAGGTTTTGTCCCTGTAAATACCTAATCAGTACCAAAGATCTACTTTCTACTTACCAGTTCTCCAGGAAAGAAGAGTGCTGACATTTATCTTGGAGGACAGCCCCCAGCAGCACATGGAAGTATCCCAGGTAACAGGCAAGGAGACCACACAACGCTGGTATATAAGCAAATACATTCTGTTCCCCAAGGTCAGCGATTTGTTACAAGGGATTTATACTCAAAACATCACAGATTCAAAATAGTGCACTTGGGCTGATATGGAAAATGTCAACTCACTCCCTCTCTCTCCCCTACGAACAGCTTTGGGGTTTATTTTTACTGATGTACATTTAAACATAGTTCAGATCAAATTAGGGTCAGGGAAGAGACTTTGGTAACTTTTAGATGTAACATTATATCTGTTACATTTATATGCAGCTTTTACATATATGCTCTCCTTGCAATATTTACAGCCCACGTCAAAGCAAGGCAGGCAAAGCTGAAATATCCTTTCTTTCAAGGAAGCAAAAACCTTTCAGTAATGTTTTCCTGTCGATGCAATTATTCTGATTGCTCCCATCATTAAATGCACCTGAGACCACGTGATTAGACCAGGACCAGTTTGGTGAGGAGAACTGTAAAACTCATGTACTTACTTATGCATGTATCCATCTGCACTCCCCGTTAAGTTCATCTGCATGACAGTTTGGAATTCTGTCTCATTGCAGCAGTATTTAAACACTGTGTTGTTATGGTGACAGCAGAAGATGTAGGATTTATTGTCAGAGAGACGGGGGCAGTGAAACCCAAAGTGGTAGCGACCTTTGTAGTCCGTGTAGGGCTCACAGACCCGAAAATGTGCAGACAACACTGGAAAACCAAGAACAACATGGGCCCTGTGAGTCACTCGTGGCAGCTGTGTGTTATCAATAACAGTTTTTCAGGCTTAAACAGTCAGGGTTTGATTTCTGAAAAACATTATTACCTCAGAGCTTTCAGCATCGTAACATTTAGTAGGTAAAGACCACAATATTTAGGCTCTCATATTTTGAATCTCATTGTTTCTGACTAGTGTTGTTTAAGGGAAGAGGAGAAGTGCCCTCTGTGCTTAGAGGCACAAAAATATTTCGGGAAACATTTTCATTTTGCTGTTCTAAATATAGGGATACCCATAACACTCCATGATGTCCATGTCTGGTTCTCCTGGGATGACTTAATAAAAACAAAAGGTCTGTACAGAAACTGCAATAAAAGTTTGCTGGCACCTGGTTTACAGTCACCAGTCCTGACAGAAAACATCTTCTCTATTGTAAAGGTCATTCTTTGATAAGGATTAGTCTGTCAGAAACACTAATCAGGAACAGCATAACAAATCTGAACAACTCTCAATTTACAAATAGACAGAACTAATAATAATACCTTTAAAATACAATAATACCTGTAAAATACTACTAATAACACCTTCATAGGTGTTCCTGAGAGTTCTTACATTTCTTCTTTAGTAAGTTCTCAGTTAAAGAGTTTATTACAGTTCTGAGAACACTGATTTTACAGCAGTGCGTCACACTGATTTCACCACCACTTTTACTGGTGAGGGGGGGAAAAAAAACCTCTCCATACATTTCTTTTCCAAAATGTAATTCCATAAGCAATCACATGAGACCTCCTGGTTGATGTGAAAAGTCTTTCAAGAGACAATATTTGGTTCCACATTATGTCAACGTTTTAACTCATTCATAATTTGTGTTATTAGGCCTTATATCATCATTTACAGCATATTTACCATACACCCCCCCCCCCCAAAGGGTTAAACTCTGAGGAAATGTGGAAGTCTCTTAGCAGTGAAATGCTTTTACCCTGAGTAGAGAGCAGAGTCCCAGCCATGCTGTGGGCAGTGCAGTTCATAAGGTCACACCAATTAGCAAAGGATATTCACTTCAGACTGACAGAATTAACCCTTGTAATTTGGTGTATGATTTTTCCATCAGTTTTACCAGCACAAGAGGTTACAGATAATGACTTGCATGGATTTAGCTTAACTGTGCTGTATCCCACAGTCCCTGTTGATCTGCAATTGCATCTTATCTGCCTAATCCTCATTTCTTCCTATATTGCTTAAAAAAATTCCTAATGCTTTTGTTTCTCAAATTTATAAAATATATTAATTTCAAGACACATTTTCAGGATGGTGATACTGGAGATGACTTTTTTATTTCTGTGTATAGGGGGAGCCTAGAACAAAAAACTAAACTTAAACAACATAACTTGTAGTGCCCTCTGAGTCAAAAAGCATCCCCTTTAAGCATTTAATATTTATATATATGTGTGTGTGTGTGCACATACCTGGCATCATTCAACAAAAGAAGAAACCCTTTTGTAGATTAATTCAGTCAGGAACTGAAAGTGCTGTTTCTAAAGGAACACAGATGTTGAGAAAAGTAATTACATATTTTGCCCTGCCTGGGAAAACGTTGTGTTCCAGATGAAATTGGCTTCTGGTCCTGTCACTGGGTTTTACCACTCACAAGTTTTGCTTGCTCTTCACTGCAAAGTGTTTTACTTAAGAGCACATGTGGAAGTTTCCCCTGATCCCTAAGTGGTTCCTTTGCCCATTTAAAAAGGAAAGCAAACTTCCCTGGGAATAAAAACTGAGGGAAGTATGATTACAGACTGAAGGGAGAATTAAGATAACGTCAGGTCACAGGAGGAGGGGTGTCTGTAATAAGATGCAGTCCCAGGCACATCCTTAAATAGTAAAATGTGTGTCAGTGATTAAAATAAATGCACAAATACGAGCGTAATGTGATGATTAAATTACATTCTGAACTCAGGAGTCGGTGTGTGGTGGATTAACCCTGGTAGGCAGCTGCTTGTCACTCCCCCTCTCCCTGTGAGGGAAAGTGAGAAAACTCATGGGTCATTTAACAAATGAGTAAGAAAAAACCCCACAGCAGCATCAGCAAGTACCTGGTGCAGACTGAAAGAACTTTATCAACTTCTTGTAATCTGTGTAAGTTCACCTGCTGTCTGTGCTTCTCTGTGAATCAGAAAGCCAATAAACAACGTGTGATTTTTTCTTTTTTTAAGTATTTTTCCTGAAAATAACTTTGCTTAAATCCTGAGGATTAAAGAACCTTATTTCTATAAAAATACTTCAGCTACAAGTATTGTACCTGAAAGGCTCTTAATTTGTCTGTTTCTGGAGTTCTGTGCAAATTCTCATACTATTTTTGAGAACTGTTATTGAACAGGTAACTGATACAGAAGCTCCTATCTCTGTTCCTACTGATTTCCAGAGGATAGTCTGTCATGCTTCAAAGATTTAAGCTCATCTTAACTTTTATCTGCTCTGCCTTAAAGGTACACAGCCAGAATACAACTGCTGCTTCCCTCTCTGTTCACAGTTAGAGATCTGGGCAACACTGATCACATTTTAAATTTAGCCACTAAATTCTTCAAGCCCTGAGACTTTGAGAAGGGCTGGTCTTTCTCAGCTTTCCACTTGGATCCACAGAAATATTCCTGTGTGTGCATTTTAACACACATTAATTTGCTGGGTGGACGTTCATTTCCAACTTCAAAGAAAAAATAACCTGTTAGTCTTTGGCTTGTTCCTGTAAGCCTTGCTGTCCTCCCTGATTTCACAAATGCGTTTCAGTGCACTAAATGACTAAGTATTAACATTGTTCAGGGGGCTTCCCTATCACTTGTGCCCTTCTGTTCCACTTGTGGAGCCAGTGAAAGTCATGCTTCTAATTGTTACGTGGGGTTTTCAGCCATTCCTACAGATTTCAGTGTGAATGTTGGGATACCAAAGACTTGGATTTACAGACAAAAAGTCTGTAAATCTGGTGAACTCAAATGGAGCCTTGCCATTCGATTTTCACTTCAGCTCAGGTTAAAAATGATGTTCATATCACTCCAGTGAGAGCAGCATCCTTTTTTTGACCCCTGCCACTCTCACTGCACAAAGCCAGTGGTTTTCTTTTATGGAAGCTGATCTGTCTTGGGAAAAAAAAAAAACCAAACAACAAATTCCACTGGCTGGCTGCAAAATGATAACAAATTTCCTCCTGTAAAATGTGTGTGAGTTAGCAATGACCTAAACCCATCCCTACAGATGTCAGCAGCAAAATTCCCCAAGGAGCAGAGTTTGGCTGCCATGAAAGGCTTGTGATGATTTCAAATTAAGCCTCTACTCTACATGTTCATAATGGATGTCAGATAATAAAACACTTACAGCCAAGGAGCAACAGGAAGATACACATTTAGAAAGCCAACAGTTATCAATGTTAATAGATAAATTATGTAAGAAAAGCTATATGTAATTTGTTTCAAATAAACATATTGAATGCAATAATTATTACCCACAGGCAATACTTTTCTTCTAAAGGGAAAAAAAATATATCAGAACACTGGCTTTATTGTCTGGGTTTGAGGGAATAAAGGTGTATTATACCAGGGGCTGAATACATCTGTTTGCACACATGGTGTTATTACAGTGTCCCATTCAACTTCAACACAGGTGAATAGAACACAGGTAAATATTTCTATCACTTTGAGGAAAAGAGTGGGAGAAGTGGGATCTCAGGATGTCTCTATTAGAAGTCCCCTATAAAGAGTGGCAAAGGTATGAAAACTTAAAAATCAACAGAGGAGACTGGAGCAGCTGGCAAAGTTTTGTGACGTTTCATCACCTCACTGAAGTGTTCTTTGCAATTGACTTCATTCAGGCACCACAGAAACAGATTTTTGAAATTATTTTAGCCTAAAAAACAACAAAGAAGCTGCTACAACCCCTGTGCCTGATCCCAGTCCACAGGAGGGCAGATACAAAACTAGGGATTATCACTGCAAGGACTGAAGGAAAACAATGTTTTCAGATGAGAAGTAGTGTAGTTGATAATATTCTAACATTTTTAGCAAAAGGACTGTCATTTACAGCTAAATAACAAACTATCATTAGCAAGAATCAACTTGGACACTGCAAACAAGCAGTGGGCAACAAAATGCTTGAGCTAACTGATAATAAAGTCCTTACACAGACAGAGCAGGAATAATTTTCACTGAATACAAGGACACTTTAATGTACATGATGCCTGGTAAAGTTTTAAGTATGGTGGTCAGGGATGGGATGTTGTACAAGGGGAAAAAGAGCAGGGATAGAAAAAAAATCCCTTTGGATTTAAAACTGCTTCAAGGACGGAGGATAAAAGACATTGAACTGCAAGTTAAAAACCTGTAGGATCAAATCTATTTGGACTAAGAAGCTTTTTATTTTTTTTTTAACATTCATTCATAATTACAGAAAACCTTAATGTCATAAATAACTTCTGAAGAACAAATGCAACAAATAACCAGAGCACTTGACTCATTCTCAAGCTAAAAGCTGACATTTCTGCACAAATCCATTCTGTGGCTTATTTATTATTTAATTAGCAATCCATCTGATCCTGTTTTGCAGGAAGTCCATATTAATTTGCAACTATTTTTTTCCCTGTGGCACACACCAGAAAAAGAGAAAGCATCAAAAGTTACCTGCTGACAAGAGTAATGAGAGCAGAACCATCAGCACATTCAGGGACTGTCGACCACAACTTGTCATCGTTGGCTTTCATTGGTCCATTAGAAAATCACCTGTTTGACAAGATGCAAAAATCACATTTAAGTGTCTGTTTCATCTGCTTTTCGTGGTTCAAACTTTTACTTCCCCACAAAGGTTTGGTAAAATGAGATGGCTTTGGACAGTAAGAAAAAAAACCAAAACCATCCATGTAATTTCTCTGGACTTAGAAGTGAAATAAATTCTCCTTTGTATGATTTCATTAAAACTCCTTTCTCATTTCACCACAAATATAAACAACTGTTTACTTCCTTTCCATTAACCCAGAGTGGAGATGAATCACACAAAGCCTTTATTGGATATTCACACCTCCCCTGTAATCTGCACTCAGCAAAAGTGTGCTGCTTTCCCTGTCACAGGAATGGGCTGTTGTATGAAGCCTCTAAGGACCAGAAACACAGAAACAATACAAAAATAAATTGGCTGCTCTGAAAGCCAATCTGTTTTACCCCATTAGAGGGTGCAGTAGCTCAGAAAGTGGGTCAAGCGACTGAGATGGCTGGAAACACTTAAAAAAGAAAAAAAAGTCTTTTCATTAGAATCACAGCATTTCATGGGATTGTTATTTCTTGTTTTTTTCCTAGAAAGAAGGGTGAGAAGTGGTCTGGTTTGGCTGGCAAAAATCCTAATATCCTAAAAAGGATCCTCACAGCGGGGTGAGGCCAAACAAATCTTGTTCCACATTAATTCAGCATCACCTGCTGCACACTCAACAGCTCCAACAGAGATTCTGCCCCAAAGTAAATGCTCTCACCAACATGGGAAGGACTGGGTGGTGCCCAATCTTGTTGTCACAACCTTGGATGTATGAACTCTTCATCCTGACCTCACACTGACATTAATAAATAGGTAATTTATAAACAGAATAAACAGGTGATTAATAATATAAATAAAATTAATAACACAACATAAAATAAAGAGGTAATTTATTGGTTTGTACAAGAACACTGGGAGCTCGGGCTACAGACCTAAAATAAAATATAATTTTAGTTATATTATTAATCCCCTATTTATTTCAGTTATATTATTAATCCCCTATTTATTTGTTATATTATTTGTTATTATATTATTAATCCCCTATTATTCAACAGTAAGACAGGTTGTCCTGAGGACAGCTGGCTTCTGGAGCTTGTAGAAAGAGACAAGAATCTGAACAGTCCCCCTGTAATCCAGAAGGAAACAGTCAGTGACCTACTGAGCTGCTTGGATCCACACAAGTCTATGGGAGCAGATGGGTGGAAGAGCTCACCAAGCCTCTCTCCATCATTTCCCAACAGCCCTGGCTCACTAGGGAGGTCTCAGATGGTTGGAAGTTGGTGAATGTCACACCAATCCACAAAAAGGGCCGGAAGGAGGACCCGGGAAACTCCAGGCCCGTCAGTCTGACCTCAGTGCCTGGCAAGGTTATGGAGCAGATCATCCTGGGTGCAATCACACAGCACCTACAGGATGGACAAAGGGATCAGACCCAGCCAGCACGGGTTTAGGAAGGGCAGGTCCTGTCTGACCAACCTGATCTCCTTTTATGACCAGGTGACCTGCCTGGTGGATGAGGGGAAGGCTATGAATGTGTCTGTCTGGACTTCAGCAAAGCCTTTGACACCATCTCCCACAGCATTCTCCTGGAAAAGCTGCAGCCACGGCTTGGACAGGGGCACCCTGTGCTGGGTTAGGAACTGGCTGGAGGGCCGGGCCCAGAGAGTGCTGGGGATGGAGCTGCATCCAGTTGGGATCCAGTCACTAGTGGTGTCCCCCAGGGATCAGTGTTGGGCCCAGTTCCGTTTAATATCTTTATTGATGATTTAGATGAGGGGATTGAGTCCATCATCAGCAAATCTGCAGATGACACCAAGCTGGGGGGAAGTGTTGATCAGCTGGAAGGCAGGAGGGCTCTGCAGAGGGACCTGGACAGGCTGGAGAGTTGGGCTAATTCCAATGGGATGAGGTTCAACCAGGCCAAGTGCTGGGTCCTGCACTTTGGCCACAACAACCCCTGGCAGTGATACAGGCTGGGGACAGAGGGGTTGGAGAGCAGCCAGGCAGGAAGGGAGCTGGGAGTGGGGATGGACAGGAGGCTGAACATGAGCCAGAGTGTGCCCAGGGGGACAAGGGGGCAAATGGATCCTGGCCTGGATCAGGAACAGTGTGGCCAACAGGGCCGGGGAAGTGATTCTGCCCCTGGACTCAGCGCTGGTGAGGCCACCCCTGGAGTGCTGTGTCCAGTTCTGGGCCCTCAGCTCAGGAAGGACATTGAGGTCCTGGAGCAGGTCCAGAGAAGGGTCACGAGGCTGGGGAAGGGACTGGAGCACAAGTGCTGTGAGGAGAGGCTGAGGGAGCTGGGGCTGTTCAGCCTGGAGAAGAGGAGGCTCAGGGGAGACCTCCTCACCCTCTGCAACTCCCTGACAGGAGGGGGGAGCCACGGGGGGGTTGGTCTCTTTTCCCAGGCAACCATCAGCAAGACAAGAGGGCTCTGTCTGAAGCTGTGCCAGGGGAGGTTTAGATTAGATATCAGAAAGAATTTCTTTACAGAGAGGGTGGTCAGACATTGGAATGGGCTGCCCAGGGAAGTGGTGGATTCTCCATCCCTGAAGGTTTTTAAAAAGAGACTGGATGTGGCATCAGTGCCATGGTCTAGCAACTGCGGTGGTAGTGGATCAAGGGTTGGACTTGATGATCTTGAAGGTCCCTTCCAACCCAGCTGATTCTGTGATTCTATTTATTTCAGTTATATTATTAATCCCCTATTTATTTCAGTTATATTATTAATCCCCTATTTATTTTAGTTACATTATTAATCCCCTATTTATTTCAGTTATAAATAGGTGATTAACGATATAAATAAAATTAAAAATCAAATCTAAAATAAAGAGGTAATTTACTGGTTTGGACACTGGGAGATTGGGCTACACACCAGGTGGTGTTACTGCAAGGTGATGTGGTGAGTCTAATTCTTGGGTTGTTAACATCATTCTAAGGTATTAAAAAAAAAAAAAAAAAGGAAGGAAAATGGCAATTTATGTAAAAAATTCCACTGTTTCTGACAGCTCAAGAGACACATTTTGCTGATTGTTTATGAAATAAGTGCTGGATTATATAAACATGTAGTTTACTACTAAGGGTCTACTAGAATGTACTGAATCAGATTAAAACACCAAGACAATTGCACCTGATGTAACAAAAGGGGAGGGGGGTGAAAATGAATGTATCAGGAGTAACTGAGTAAATCATGAGTACCACAGATGGATAATGGAGGGGAGACACAGAGCTGTGTGCAAAGTGCTGAGAGGTCAAAGATTTCTCCCACAAAATGCTGTGTGTGGCACAAGCAAATCCACTAAAAAGTCATCTTGGCATGTGAAAAACAGAGCACAGAGCTAAAAACTTTTGTACAAGAAAACATGATAGTTTACACTGTTATCTGCAAGCCAAACCACTGTATTGTAACCTTAAAGTAACTTTTCAAGGGAAAACCAGTTAGAAACCATAACACTGTGAGGAGAATATGAAAGTGCAATGAACTGTGAATGCTAATTAAAAATACTTCTCATCAGTACTGTTTGAAAAAGCTGCCACCTTTTTTTCCAGAAGGAATATCACATTAATTAAAACATTGAGCAGACCTAAAGTTGGAATTGCATTAAAAAAAAAACAAAAAACAATACTGAATATAAGCCAGAGGTTGAGAATGTAGGAGTCTGACCAAGAAAAACAGCTACAGAGAACATGCTATTGCCAATATTGACAGGAATAAAAGGGTAGGATATTTTCCTGAGTGAACCAAAGCTGCAGGAATTCTGGTAGTGATTCATTACTAAGGTAAATCTTGGCTTTTGTAGCAGTTAATTAAAAAGAGATCAATAAGCACTCCTGTTGTGTATCTGGGAAGACAAAGATGTTTGGTATAGCTGAGACTATTAAATATTTCCAGATCAAGAGTCATTTAGGATGACATTAATGAGTTGATACTAAGGTTCCTAATTTGATATTTGCAAATCCGTGTAATTTGTATCCAGTTATTTCAGCAGAGCTGGATGGGGAACACGGAAATCACTTTTTCAATTTTTTGGGAAACAAGGGCAGCTGTCAGAGAACCTGAAGAAACCTAAGAACCTTTTCAGAAGTAAACGAGATAATCCAGGTAAATTACAAGCATGATGTAGATCTAGAGAAATTTAATGGAATGGTTAATACAGAATCCAATTCATAAATAATTAAGGAGAGTAATATAATTAATATGTATCACTCTGGCCTTATGGTAAAGTTAACTTATTTCTCTCTGGGTTGTTGATTAAAGTAAATTAAAGATAGTTATAGTATAGTAGATGTCTGTAAAATATCTCACTTAGTAGCATGAATTTGAGCAGGCAGTGAGAATGAGGAAAAAAAAACCACATCAGTTATGGAAGACTAACTCAGATTGGAAATCAGATGCACATTTTTTGGAAGGCACAGTCTTGTTAGTAATTGAGTACATCCAGCCTTACTGGCAATTTCTTAATCAGCGCTGTAGGTAGAAATCTAGAAGGGAAAAATTTATTTCAATTACGTCCAACAGAACTGGCAACAATGAAATTGGCATTTTAATCCAAACTCATGGGATGCTTGTGTTTTCTGTCGGCTGGGAAATCAGAGGGAGGGACTAAAACCCGAGAGACCTGCCCACCAGTGGCCAGGAGAATCTGTGTAAATAAATGCATGTACACATCTATCCATATTTGTGACAGCAGGGAAACGCTCCAGTTTTAGAACTGCTGTTTCAGTGATCATTACACTGAGTATGAGCATTTTTGGGAGGGTAAAATATAACTAACTGTTCACTTGTTGACTGTTCCTGAGGGTTTCTTTACATGCTGCTGTCTGGCTAAAGCAGTCATAGTTTATGCAGTACCAGGAGGATGTCTCTGAGCTGTCAGAGCTGGAAGAGATGGGCAGGAGAACTGGTGAAATGATAAAAAAAAAAAAAGCCTAAATCACACAAAGTATTTCCTGATGTTAGGCCATGGGATAGAGAGGG